AATTGATAAGTGGGTGACCAACTTTTGACTTGGTGACAATCCTTATCTTCTCTTGTCTGCCCAAAACGTCATTGATAACGTCAAAACTGGAGCCAGTTGCAAACATGAAAGTTGTAGGCAATTGTCTCAGCTTTCTTGTGTAAACATTTCAGCTCATTTGGACTTCTAGAACTCCAGATATGGCCAAAATACCGAACAGTGCTCGGGCTGGAAGACAGATTCGGGCTTCTTTGTTGTTGCTACAATTTGGACTTGATAATGGCCTTTTTAGATCTTGGGCTCCATATGAAAGTTGTAGGCCTATGTCTTACCTTTCCATCCATATAAATTTGACCTAAATCTGAGATATATAGCTCCAGATATGACCCATTTACCGAACAGTGTTCCGGTTTGGATTGCACCGACATCTCTTCTCTAAGTTTGACCATCTCTTTATCCATGCAATTTAAGTTCTTCAAGTCATCAATCAATCCTTTCATTTATGTGATAGGCCTGCATTAAAAATAGACATTTACCACAAATTAAAGGTATCTTAGGTTATTAGATATATTATTATAAAACATGTTTTAGTTAAGGAGTTATTGATACTTCAAGTGCAAAATGATGATATAAAACCATGATAAAAATGCACTTTTAAGTACTAATCGCGCCACTATTAATACGAGTAGCAGAAGCTACTCTGGGTTTTCTTTTTTATTTTTTATTTTCCTTGTGTCTTTTTTTCTAAAACTATTAAATCTTTTTATAGCTTAATTTCATGATGTAAAGTTTAAGATTATAGTATAAATATAAAATTAAAAGAAAGAAGATTATAATGTAAAATCATGGTCAATCTCAAATTTATGAAGAAAAAATGCTTTCTAGACCATCTATTTTTTTCTCCTCCAACTAGTCCTTTTAATTTTGGTTCAAAAAATTATTTTTCATCCTTTTCTTATAGAGAGAAGAAAGAAACTAGTTAAGAAAATAAAGAGCAAGAGAGAAAGGTGTCAATTGATCATAATCTAATAAGGAAAAAAATTAATTCTGATCTCAACAAGTTTTATTTGCAAAGTAAGAGTTCTATTTAGGTATTTTTCGACTTTCTTTTGTTGAAAAAAGTAGACCAGGATTGAAAGAAAATTTTTATCTAGTTTGATTTTATGTTTTTAAAATGATTAATTTGTGAATATTCATTTTAAGTTAAGAAATTGTTATATTGATATGCTAAGAATGTTTTCAAGTGAAAATAGGTTTTAAGAAATGGATTTTTAGGTTTAAAAAACCTGAACTTGATTTTTCGATCATCTCTCTGGTTTTAAGAAACTATGTGTGCTTTATTTTATTATTATTTTTTAAAAAAACAAACATGTCATTCACTTCTTTTTTTAAATAAAAAAAAAAGCTCATGCTTGTGCACTTAGCTAGCGCACATGGTGTTTTCTTTAAATGGGTAAGGTGCACTAGGCCATGCAAGCCCACATGTATGGCCTCTATATATTTAATTCATTATGCTTTTTTAATTAAATTAATTAAAAATAAATAACTTTAAAGTACAAAAAGTCTTATTTGCTAATAAGCCGTCGTTTAATTGAACCGTCTTGTTCGCAAATGGATCTTTGCCCTAATGGATTGCCTATTTGTTTAGTTATAAGCCTTAACCCAACAATAAATTTGAGACCAAATCCTAATCTCATGCAAATTTCGAGGGAGCTTAATGTTGTTATGCACTACAATGTAGTGTCATGACTTTTGCCTAACTTTCTTGTAAATAGCTATGTTATTATGGTATACACTTTGTATGAACAACTCATGCCTTGTTAATATAGCACTAACCTTTTTCGTCATTCATCTGCAAGCATCAACCTTTCTCATAAATAGTTGTAGTGCCACATCTTCCACTATGTCCGGCAACCCCATGCTTTATATAAGGTAATTTTATGCGATCAAGGTGTATAAATACATCGAGTTGCTAGGTAATAAGATATAAAGCTATATAATACAACACATAACAATCACAACATCATACACTCTCATATGTTTTTATTCTCATTGGTATAATTTCCTTCCCTCCTAGAATTTACTAATTGAAATATTAAAGGGTCCTATATCTTAATAAACGACTTGCTTTTGTAGGAGTGCATGAAACAACCATGTCCGAACATATCAACCTAAGACACAGCCATGGAAAACACAAACCTAATCTAGAGTTTTTATGACTTCATCTTTATTGGGTCATATATGGATCTGACTTTGTTGATGAAACCAATTGTTGATAGAATTACTTGATACAAATAAAATATTTGGTAAACTTAATGGAGCTTCACTATTTATATATATAATAAAGCATTTCTTTCTCTTTTTTCTTTTATTTTTTTATTTTTTTCTGATTTCATCCTTGAATTTTTTAGCTTTTTTTTTTAAATTATTCTTTGATATTTGGTTACTTTTGAATTGATCTTCATAATTTATTTCAGATTGCTTTAATCTTAAACTCAGGCTGGACAAAGAGTCGGGTTGAGAGATTTTAAAATTGACTTACTAGATTAGATTTAATAATAATGCCAAATAATTCGTGTGGTTAATTTTTTTTTTATGTTCAATTTCTTTTATCTGACTTGCAGCTTAGCTTGGACCTATAAACCAGTTATTTTCTAAAATATTATTAACAAAAATTAAAAGAGAAGGTGAGTTCAATGTTCACCTCCTCATCAAACACTATTAACTAGAAAAATGTTTTGGTTTTATACTAGATTATTTAGTAAGTCTAGGCATTGCTAATATTTTTTTCTAATAGAAAATAAATTCAAACCGTGTGAGAATTGATTTTATGTGACTTGGTTACCTTGGTGAGTCCAAAGATAACTCAAATAACTAGTAAAAATATAGTTTGATGTAAAATAAATATCTAAGAAGAGATTTTCTGAATAAATATTGAAATAACAATATATTGGATCGATTTGAGTCAATTCAGGTTAAACTACGAACTTGCATACCAAGTATGAGATCATAATAACCCTATGGAAAAAAATCCAAACAAATCACAAAACTAATTTTCAATAAATTTAATATTGAAGGATGGAACTGAAAAAAAAAATCAATTAAAAAAAGAACCCAAGAAAATGACCTGAGGTAACTCGAGTTAATCTGTCAAACTCGCAATCTAGGTTATAAGAGCTGGATAACCCAATGGAAAGAAAATTAAAATATATTATAAAGCTTGATCCAAAACAAAAAAAAATGACAATTAAAAAAATAGGGATAAAAATTAAAATACAAAATTCAATCAACCAAGTATTGAAAGATGAAATTAAAAAGAAAAATTAATTAAAAAATAAAACAAAAAATTGCTCAAATCAACCATGATTAACTTAGCAAACCTATGACTTGAGTCATAAGATGAGAATAACCTTATAAAAAGTAGGTAGAAATAAATCACAAAACTTAATTCTCAATCATCTCAATATTGAAGGATGAAATTATGAATAAAAAATACTCAATTAAAAAAAGAGAAAAAACTTGAGTCAACAAAGTTAACTAATTAAACTTATTGTCAGGGTCATAAATAAAGGATAACCTCATAAAAATTAAATTATAAAAATCAATTCCCAATAAATATAATATTTGATAATGAAATTAAAAATAAAAAAATGTATTAGAAAAAAAATATTATTCCAATATTGTGTTATGTAAAGAGAGGAATTTTTTTTCAATTTTCTTTTTATTTTTTTATTTTATCTTTCAATATTGGACTTGTTAAAGATTGAACTTCATAATTTATTTTAATTTACTTTCTACAAGGTTATTCTAATGTCATAACCTAAGTTATGTATTTGACGGGTTAACATAAGATGACTTTTTTTTTTTGTTCAATTTTATTCTTCAACATTATGTTGATTGAAAATTGAACTTTATAATTTATTTTAATTTATTTTTTATGAGGTTATTATAGTGTCATGACCAAGATTGTAGGTTTGGCAGGTTAACCTAGATTGAGTTGGATTATTTTTTTTTGTAATTTTTAATTGGTGTTTTTTTTTCAATTTTATCCTTCAGCTTTGTATTGATAATAATTGAGTTTTATAATTATTATTTTTTATTTTCTTTTTATGATATTATCTATGTCTCATGACCTAAATTATAGATTTGGCAAGTTGATTCGAGTTTTTTTATTAATTTTATCTTTCAATATTAAATTGATTATGAATTATTATTATTATAAATTATGGGCAACACATCATGCTATTTAGGTTTGTACCGAACCTTTTTATTTGCATCGGCTTCTTGAAATGTATGTCAAATATGATAGTTTGATGGATGCCTAAAAATTATTTTATGAAATGCTTGAAAGGGGTTCAGTGTCTATAGATAAATGAGTATTTTGGATTTATGGATGATATTATTGTAATTATGAAATATATATGGTAATTTTGTTATTTTATAGGCTTTAATAGCTCTCTAGTCTTTAAAATGAATATAAATGCAAATATATAAATATTTAGTTTTTTTATTTTATTTTTTTAGCGTATGAGATTGAAGATGTAAATTATTACCAAACATGTAAACTCTGGATATAAAATGTAATTTCTCAAACAATAATACTAAAGTGAAAAAGGAAAGGAAAAAAAAAACTAATGAGATTTCTTTTACTTATACCTAAAACTTAAACACTTTTCATCATTAAAAGAATAAGTGCCAGGGAGATGGAGAAAAGAAACAAGTCACAAATATTTTTTTTCAACAGAGATTTCTTCATTAATTAGATAATATGGCTAACAACGGTATAATTTAATCTTACTATTTTATTTATGCCTTATATTATAGAATATTATAGCTATTATTCTTTCATTATCCTTACAAAATCTAATACTAATAACAAGATATGGAAGCGGAATAAACTTTGCTCTAGGTTTTTTGTTATTTATTTAATTATTCGTGACATTCTCGTTAAACAGGATTCGTGCCATGCATCTGTCTTTATCCTATCAGTGGGTGGAGTCTGGAGAGAAAAGGGTAGATTTAACGATAATTAAAGGATTTTCAGATGTAGTAAATAAAGAGAGAATTGAAAACTAAGCTGCTTCCTATGAGCAAATGTTTTCAAATCCCATGTATTCATTCCTCTCTATCTGTTTCATCGAGCGTCCGATGCCAACCCCACCTGTTCGGAAAGAAGAAAAACCTTCAAAATATTGAGCAATATGTGGCTGTAGGGAACATGTATGCCACATACGTACCTAATAATATTGCACTCGCAAATATTATGAAGGCTAGAGTGAAGATGATTAGAGATGCTCTCCCTAGTACTCTGATCAGCTTTCCTGCTACATGTTGCCCAACCACGGCAGAAATGGTAGCCACGGCGAAGAAGTAGAGAGCTGTGTAAAATCAAAGAACTTAAATTTATTGCGGCTCATTTCAGTTATGTTGCTATTAAATAAAAAGAGAATGTTTTAGCTAAAAATCTTACCGTAAGGAATGGGGAAGCGTTTCAGAAGGTAAAATTCTACAGCAGATATTGATGCAGAAAACATCATGGCAAAGGCGGCAGTGGCACTTGACACCTACGTTGAATGTTTTTCCATAATTTGTGTCGGGCATACAAATCCTATAGTACTGTCGAATGATCTTACAAGTTGAAACAAAGTAGGAAATTCCACCTGTGGAGGGATTCCCATCTCCAAAAAAAGAGGACCCAAAATGAATCCTCCACCAAGTCCAAGCATGCCTCCACCTCTGCCAGCCATAAGAGCTGTGACACAATAGAAGAAAAGTCTGTGCAAAGGCCAGTTATTTCTTGCTTCTTCCTTGGATGCAATCTTTCTCCGCCCTTTGTACAGGCTAACGGCCACATATGAAGTTACACCGACTGCCACCGGGATCTGTCAAGCAAGAGCAAACTATAGTAATTAACTACTATTACACCATCAATTATCACATAAAGAAAGGGAGTTTTGGTATATATATATAAGAAACTATGCATGTTCCTTAGCATATATAGTGACTGCAGGTAAGGTACCTGCATTGTGTTCAATAACCAATATTCAACTGAGCAAGTGGTTGAGTAATTCTGAGATAAATAGACAGGCGTCGGTTTTCCATTAGCCTTGCTGATCACCACAGGAGGGGAAAAAAAGAAAAGGGACACGGTCCATGAAGTGAAAAGGAGGAGTAGCGGAAAAAACCTTGCCAATCTGCAACGCAAGGATGATCAGCCAGACAGCAACAAGAATTCCAAGTTCCTTCCAATAAACATTCTCTTTAATTGAGACCTGGCAAGGTTTCAGAAGCAATTAGTCCTGAAAATCCACATAAAGGAAATTCAGACTGCATAACTTCTCGAACCTTTTCTTTTTTGGACTCGGATTTTTATTTGATATTGACTGGTGGTGCCTCCAGGAGGGTCATTCTCCTCCGCTGCTTCAATTTTGTTGTCTCCCACCACAAGTGGTTTCTCCCACCAACATCTAGGAGGGTCATTTTCCTCCGCTGCTTCAATTTTGTTGTCTCATGAAAGAACATATTGGCCATGAAGGGGACAAAAAAAAAAAAAACATTCACGATGGCTAGATTTGAATTTTATAAACCACTCACCAGAGTTATCCAACTGTACACTAGCGGCTTCCTGAAAACTTACAGAAACAATTGAGTTGTGGAACCCTAGGAAACAAACTGAATTAGAACACCATATATAGATAAACTAGGCTTGGAGGAAGAGGGAAGAGTAGGATGACCTGTTTTGATTTGGTTTCTTTCTTCCATGTTTCAACACCTTTGAAGAATGCCTTGGATGATGTTGCTGCACGTAATTAACCGAAGGAAAATAAAAAATGTTGCCCAAAAACGAGACAGTCAGAAAGTGACAATACATACTATACTAGCTAGTGGTGCATCAGTACAGCCAAAGATAATGATTAGCAAAATTGTGATCATCCAATCACTAAAGAGCACATTCAGGGTGACTCCTATGCTAATTCCCAGAATCAGCATTGGCTGAAATAGAAGTGCCAGATCGTAGTCGATGATAGGCAGTTCCAGCGTAGGATGTCTTAATCTTATATTGTAAAGAACAGTCGATGCTGCTGCACCTGTGATCATACCTGACAAAGTAAACAAAATTGACAACAATTTTAGAATGAGGTTCTTCTTCCATTTGAATTCCTTTCGTTGCTTTGACAGATCTGATTGCCAATTCTTATCAGTGATAAATCTTTAAATTGGAAACCGCACTCCAAATCAGACATTGTTATCACATTTGTTTTATGTTCACAAGAAAGCATAAGCTACGAGGGTTGATTGAAATTCTAAATCATCTCAGAGATACTTCAGGATAAATTTTCTGTAACTTGGATAAAAAACCTTCATCGAACAAAAGGGTATCTGTAGCATTTTGACATTGCTGCTGATAATTTATAATCAAGCCTTGCAACTTATTAGCAAGTTACTCTTGGGTTGGTTGTCATTAATGTAAAGCAACTATTAATAGATGGCACCGTCCATTGACAAAGACAGCAGTTACAGCTGGAGTTGCACCAACCATGAGCACTCATCCAAGATATCAAAGGTTGGCAGCCACCATTGTTGAAAAAGAGTTGGAGGTGGTAGCCACCATTATTGAATGAACTGGAGTTAGTGGCCACCAATGTTAACAACAAAGTAAGAAGAGCTGCCATGGATGCCTATAAATAGAGGCATACGTGAGAGAGCAAAAGAAGAGAGGGAAAATAGAGCCAAATATGTGAGAAATCTAGGAGAGAGTGGGCTGCCAAGACAGCCAGCAGTAGCTGTCATTGCAGCACCGAAAAAAGAGAAATAGAGTGAGGTTGAGAGGTGCCAAAGAGGGGATGATTCCTCCTCCTCTATTGTTATAAATCTTATACTCTTCCTATATAATGTAATGTCTTCTCCCGTAGATGTAGGCAGTTTACCAAACCATGTTAAATATTATGTCAATGTGCTTGGCCTCTTATGAGCAAATATCAGTACATCACCGGTCGGATTCCCTAACAATTGGTATCAGAGCAGATGGTTTTAAGTGGTGTTTGATTTTGCTCAAAAATAAAAATTATCAAAATTATGTTTTGACCATATCACTGTGTAGAGGAGGAAGAGACGAAGCCACTGTTGAAAACCGCATCAAAATCGGACAACGGAATCGTCCTCACGCTCCAGCGGGGTGGTTGGTCACGCGTGCCACGCGTAACACGCGTTTTCTTCACCCGGATGAGCTGACCCGACCTGAATACCAGATGACCCAACCCACATGCAGGATCCGGATGATGATGACATCATCATGATGTCACAATAACATTAGCATGCATAGGCAGCATGCCATGTAAGCAACCAGTCAGTAGCCATGTCAGCACTGTGGGACCCACCTGTCACGTCACCAGCTGCGAGCCGAGCCGTGAGCCGAGGGATAAGATTCTATGTAGCAGAGTCTACGTGCAACCGATTCTGAGATTGAATCTGGACTGTTTATTAGGCCAGAATTGTATTGATCAAATCTTAGCCGTTTAAAGTGCGATTTGGATGATTTAAGACTTGTTTCTAGCTAATTTGATCATTCCGGATGCAATGGTGTGGTCCGATCATTGAGATTGAGACCAGAAATGGTGATGGTGAGTTATCGAAGAGAGATTGCCTGATTAGGAGGCATCTAAAGGTCATTATGGTGGTCGATAGAGATGAAGAAGAAGAAATCACACATGTTTGTCCAATTATATGTGTTAAACTGTTATGTGGGGAATTTTAATTGCCTTAAGGGAAGGAAAAATTAGAACACTCTGAATAATTGATCATGTGGACAATTTGAGGTGGAGAGTGAAATTTGATGAAGACCAATCTTGATGAATCTATACACTGGTAGTCTCGCCAAATATTGAGAAACCAGGTATAAAACCAGGATACCCTAGATCACTTGTAAAGGAATGCCACGACAAATCTAGCAAATGGTTGTATATACGGCCCCAGATCCCTTGTAAAGGAATGCGGCAACAAAGCTAGTAAATAGTTGTATATACGGAAAGATAATACGATGGATAGATATGGCCTAAGAAGTTCTGTCTAGAAGATTGAGTTTTAAATGGGACCGGTGTGACCCTTCCAATCTTTCTTGGGAACTTACTTAGTGGAAGGATTATCCATATGGTACTATTTTTGTATATGTGATAGTTTGTTATGAAACTGTTGAAAACTAGCAGGATGACAGCACAAGGGAACAGTTGGGTTTCATATGTTCAAAGATCTGATGGAGTGGTGATTTCTCTAAAAAAAGTTAGATTTGGTGACTTCAATTTCTCGAATTGATGAAGACCCTGATAATGGAAGAGAAATACAGCAGGGGATAAAGATTGGCATCCTATTTTGACTTGGATAGGTGTTGTGACATGATGAGCTGCTCTCAAACATAAGCAAGGAATAG